TTGCTGAGTCGACAGTTCATCGCGTCTCTTGCCGATGTCCTTTGAAAGCTCTGAAGGCCGACAGTGGTTGCTCCTCCCCAGCAAGCCACTTGTCTTTTTTGCCACTGTCACCATCATTTTCGTCTTTGGCCTAGCCAGATTCGGCTAAACTGATGACGGGGTACTTCGATGAAGGGGCACTTCGCTGACGGGGCACTTCGATGACTGTTGATGCGGGCTGCTTTTGTCCTGCCACAAATCGGAAGCGCTGTATGCCCACCAAGAACTGCGGTAAAGAGGTTCGGCAAGTCCAGACAGCCTAACTCAGGTCTGCGAAGGTCAACGGTCACTCCCCAGGCCTTTTACGCCGACAGCCTCCAGAAACGAGTTGCTACTGCTTTTGTCACCGACTTCTATGGTCTTCGCAGTTTGGAGCTCCACAGAACAGCGCCATTTCTTTCTCTGTGATTTTCCAGCACAGCTCGGGCTGGGCGCCATGACCTTTCCTCCAACCAATCCTGTACATGGACTTGGCAGGAGTGCACACCATTGTGGCCTCGCGCACCACCGCCGCATCCCGCTGTTTGGCACGAGCCTCGTGCCCTTTTATGCATAGCACAAGGCCGAACATGAAGTTGACGAGCTCCCTGTGATTGGCGGGAGGGCTGTTGAAGAAAGGTGCGTGTTGTGCACAGGCCACGAGAAACCGCTCGAGCGAAGAAGTGTAGCTGTCACGGTTATCTCAGCAGCACTTGCAAAGCATTCGATTTAGAGAGACAGGAGACTGTGGTGAGAAAACAAATACACTTTATCAAACAATGCTAACAGAGGAAACAAACACTGAAAGTTACCGCAAGACAAACATGCACACAATAATCGGCTATCCAGAGAAATTAAAGCTAACACTGACCCAAGTCAAGTTCAATACCTTCGCCCTAATCTATAGCTCCTCTTATGCGATCACGCAACAGTGGAATGTCTTACTGTTCCTGTGATGACAATGAAGTGTCACATAGTCGAAATCTTTGAAGACATTTCGCAGCTGTCAGCGGCGGCCCACGTCCGCCTGACTATCAACTTATCTTCTTCATTCGTAACCCGGTTGCCATGGGCCTTGGCAGGTTAGGCTTAACCATCCCTGTCCCACTCCAGAACTGTATAGTCGGTCGCAGCTGTCCTGTGAAAATGATGAAGAGCGGCAGGTTACAAGGTGCCGCTGTTACAAGGTGCCACAGGTCCAGAGGGCGTCTTTCGCTGTCTACCAAGGTCAATGAATGCTTTTGCTTTTTGGCTCCCTAATGCTGCTACCTAAAGATACAGGTTACCAAAGCCTTCGCTACGAGAGCAACGCCATCTCTTCTATCTTTGTTCGGCGCTCCACAGCACAATGACACAATGTGGAAATATACGAGTGCACAAAATATAAGGAAAAGCACTTGACAGGAAAGACCTAGTGCGCTTATATATTTCCACATTATGTTTTACCAATTGGCCCAGCATTTCACTTTATTGAAGCACAATGACACCTCATCTTGTAGAATTTTTCCACCACAGCTCAAATCGCGCACCACAGGCTTTCCTCTAACTAATGCCGTAAGTGAAAATGAAACATAAACCATAGAGGCCTCGTGCCCCATCACGGCATTCCACCGATTGGCACGTGCCTCATGCCCTTTTACTCATGACAGTGGCAGCTGGCTGAATGAGTCAGAAGACAATGACACTCAACAAGAGCAGATGGAGCACCGGGCATCATACCAGTTTTTCCCATCGTCGTGACCTGCCGAGCTGGGCCTTGCTACAGCTACCATGACCCCTGCTATCTCGTCCTCGGCTTGAACCTTGTCCCGAGCAGGAATCGTAGCATCGGGCCCATGCTGGGGTGCTATGCCCGAGCCTGAGCCATGATCCGGCACTGTCTTGGGAGCTTTGGCCATACCCGACATGTTGATGCACTTCTGTGACCGCACATTGTCTCGGTGTTGTGCTACATCACCTACACCACCCACCACAGTGCCATTGCTGTCACAAAGGCCATCTTGCAAGCCCTACTGCGTTCCCACTATCGAAGCCTGCCGCCCAACGCTGCACGATTGTAGTCTGTAAGTCTGCTTGACTGACAATTCGGTCAAGTATGCTGACGCTCGTGTAATACATGTTAGCCCCACATTCACTATTCCATCGTAATAAAGTGTCCCTTTGTCTTTTAATGCTCTCTTTGCTCATCTGACTAACCTGTGCTCATATTCAGATCCCACAATGTTAAATAATACCCCACATTAAACCTCTTTACGTTAAACATGTCGTGCTCTAGTTGCTGCTGCATATGACTTTGTTCTTTCAGAGCTTGTAAACTTTTAGGGGCAAAGCTCCTTGTGGTTGAGCCGTGTTTGCTGCCATCCCTCGATGACAATGAAAAACAATCATGTTTTAGAGCACACATTCTTTCTCAGCCACCATGGCACAGCACATGCAAGGTACTTACTATACGCCATGACAAAGACGCTCGTCACGATGAAAACAATGACAATAAATACGACAATCATCAACAACGACTGGCTTGTACAGTATATGATATCTCGATGTGCCCGACAATGCATTTCCTATGACTAGAAACAACCAACAACCACCAGGGGAATGGGCACAGACGTCTTCTTTGCCAACTTAAGGCTAGATTTGATACCACAAAATAGTATAATAAAGGCAAACGAAATTCCCAATGCAACACAACATACCATTTATGGTCAATAAACTTTTCATGTAAATGTACACGGCTTTGTCACTCATTTACATGCATGAGTGCTCAACATTACGAATGATTTACAGTACCACTGCTTTGCACACTTATCATCATTAATTTCATGGATATGCTGCAATTTCTTTTGAAGCACATAAAAAAGAGACGTCTCGCTTCATGCTGTTTCTGCAACATTTAGGCAGGCTGCACGTTGAACCAACCATTGCAATTCATCGAAATGAAGCCACCAACAGCTCGCTAATACAGCAATATGCAGCTGATCGTGCTAGGTGCCGTATTTACATGATTGCATGTCGACTCGAATGCAAGTTGACCTCTCTAACATCCTACAAAAAAAAAAAAAGTGAACAAGTTTCATAAACAAAATGCATTTGCAACGTCCCTGGGAAAAATAAGGCGAGCTCAAGATACGGTGTGGAACAATGAATTCACAGCAGCACTTGAAAGCTTTACAGACAACCTAAATTCGAAGCAATATCCATTGATCATTAAAAAATAAATAACCTGCATATCGCTATTGAGGGTGTTGGTTGTACACTAAAAATCCAGTACTATATGTTGAAGGTGGAGGCGGAGCATGTACATAATTTCGTAACCACGCCACACCATACCTGATTTCACTATCGTTTTGGTTTTCATAGTAAGTCGACCTTCAATCGGAACTATAGTAGACTCATGATAATTTAAACTGATGATTCATACTTTTAGTTAATTCAAACAAAATTCAATTTTTTGGTTGGCCCTCTATCCTTTCAATGTATTTAAAAGCTTTTCAACTCAAACTTCATCATTTGCATTAATTATTACCTCTTCTAGTTTCACACAGGAAAATATCTGCTGCTTTCCTATTACTATTCAAAAAATTTGTGTGCTTATATAATCCTAACCGTCTCAAAATGAAAAAAAAAAAGTGCCTCAGGCTTTTAACAAAAAGACGCTTTGCTAATAAACAAATGTTATAGTTGAAGCACACGAATAGTAAACCGAGATGCTTCTCAACTGGTACAGAGGGCTCTGTGCTGAAGGCACCTATAGCAAATAGACAGTTGGCCAATTCACGATTTCTTTAAAAGGTCTGATCAGTAATAAATGGACAATAAACTCGTGGATTGTACACCTTTGCTTTCTGTTCACGGGGTGCAGTTGGGGTTTAAAAACACTTTAAAAAAATTTACATGCAATAAAAAACAATGTGTCGCCTTACCCATAGTCATATATGTGACTTCTGATAATGCAATATCCTTGCTAATTCAAACAATATTCGGAGTCCCTTTTAGATTGAATTAACGAGAGTCGACTGTAGCTTCAGTTTCAATTTGTATGTCTGGCCCTCCCAACTCCGTATTTCAAATTTAGATAAAATGGGTTGACCTACAGTCGTGTAAATATGGCACTCCAAACACAGCCATGCACAGTGGCAATAGTGGCATAGTGCAATTTCTGGTGAGACAGGTATAGTGAGGCCTCAGATGCCTCATAAAACAGGAAATTTGACCATCAGTGATGAATGTCCTCAAGCACCAAGGACGAGTGACCTAAAAAATCATCACGGTATGACATCACAGAATGGAAAAGAAAGGACAGCATATAAGCGAAGTGAATGAGGATGAGTGGACGAAGCAGTGGGATCATTCGGTGTTACAGTAAATCATCTGTGACACTGACCACTCACGCATGAAAATGAATGACAATGCAGTGTACAGTTATATTCAATGTTCATTGGTCCTAAATCGTATGCACAACTCTTCTGTGATCATCATCATCAGCGTCATCATCATGGCGTACCTTGCATGTGCTCAGCTACGGCGCACAACAATGCCAACGGACAAGCCTCGACCTTAAGGTACTTCGCCCCTAAAATGGTGACATCATCATGACATCCCAAATTCTGGAGTGACGTAATGCGACACGATGCTGTCGTAGCACCCTTGGACAGTAAACGAATCCGGAGATTGTGCGACCTTGAGAAAGAAAACAGAAACGGCACTTGGCAGTGGCACGTGAAACCACGGCTCATGTTTCCTACTCCCTCATAGTACGTCTACTACCGAGAAGAACAAGGTGATGGACTTCGAGTCGTCTCAAGAAATGCACAGGGGACCCAGCGAGTTTTCTTCTTCCACATTTATGGGAAAACATAAAATATGGACAGTCATGGTAAGAGTTGCCACGATTGAGCTTGTGCCAGCCCACATTCATTACTGGCAAAACTTTCTTATGGACTTTGTTAGCAGCGTCGGTACAGCTGAAAACAATGGCTGACCTGGCCAAGGGTGTAGTCTGGGGGCAGGAGTACCCCCATCAGTTGGGCCATGCGGTGGAGCAGTCGCGGCATCTCCCGCAGCTGCTGCCTCGCCTGCTGGGGACGACAGGTCCATGCATGGTCCACCAGGTACACACTGAAAGCCACACTTAGTATTTAGGTGATTCATGCCCCTCATTCAGAGTCCACTCTAAACTAACTATAATAGAGAAAGCTAGCTGAGACGTTCGAAATGCTGGGTGAATTCATGATTCTAAGATTTAATGGCAAAAATTTAACTAAACTACTTAACGCATCCTCAGTATGTGCAGTGACCCCAAATGAGCTTAGGTTGCCCAGTCCACTACTAGTCACATATGTCTCTGTAAATGTCCCATAAGGGACAGTGGTTGTTGCTGCAAGCTGATTTGGTGCAACGGATGGTCAACGGTTCAGGTACTTTTCATTTCTGGCAAATTTATCGGCAGAAATGAAAAGTGAAATGAAATGAACACGCGAAAAGATGGTGCAGGTGGAGACGCCACCATGAAATTCTTGCACTAAACACTGTGAAGTAGTAAATTTTGAAGGCACCTACTGGGTCGTCCATAGCTTCTACTCGATGAAAAAGAAGTAGATTGTCATCTGTGCGTGCCGTAGACCCCCCTATCATAAGAAGTTTCGCAAAGTTTTTATCCGATGTCACGAAAATACAAAAGATATAATTTTGTTATGCCAAAAATGGAGATTTTGGCCCAAAACTTAAAAAAATTACACAATTACACTCCTAAATTGATTTTCTTTGCTAATAATGAACATATAACAGTGAAAATTGTAGCATTAGAGTTCTCAGAGTGCACTTTATCAATCTAAACTAAGTCATTGCTTCTTTTTAGTGTCCCTTTAAATTTAATTTTCAGATCAAAACTGAAAAAATTGAGGTTTTCTGGAGCTACAAGGCTCTAAAAAGCCGTAACTTCTCCAACTTTGTATCAAAACCAGGTTTTGCTCTTGGCATGTTATACCCAGAATCACCTCATTTGCTTGACTGGTGCAAAACTGGCAAAATAATGTACTAATTATGTATTAAAGGTTACACAGGGATTTCAATAAATGAAGCACTACTGCCTTATGACTGCAGATAGAGAGAAAACGTGGTTGATTCCTTTTTTTATAAATTGGTGTAACATGAAAGTGAAATGTTTCCTCACAGAGGTGGTTGAGCATTCACTGAGCATTGTTTGGCCACAAGGGCTAAGGAATGATTGCTGCAGTCATGCAAAAAATGTAAAGAACGAAAGAGCTCGAAACTTGCAGTGCACACAGAAAGTACGCACAAAAGAAGCAAACACAGAACAAGCCCAGACAAACAACTGCCACAACTCAACACTTAAACCACGCTGCTCAAACAAAAAGAAAGGCATATAAAACAAACGCACAAATATACACCTGGATGAGTGTGAACAACAGTCACAATTCTTACTTCTTCGTGTGTGTGGAGCACGCTCCTGTCGTGAAAGCGGCCATGGAAGTGGGCGAAGTAAAGTTTGTGCTCTCTTAAGCTACTGTAATGTCAAAGCAAACTTGCTTGTGGGAGCACAACGTGTACAGATCACACGAATCCCAAGAAAAGCGCGCGCGAGCAAGCCACTATGCAAGACAACATCCATGAGCACTTTGACCATGCCATGCGGAGGCTCGCGAGCACATCGACGTGAGGGGTGGCCCAGTGCAACGACCTTTAGAGCGTGCGAACACTAAGCGTGCTCGTCATGCCATCTTGCTACCAATGACGAAAACACGCTGAAGTGCCAAGCTCTGAGGATCGCCGATGGTACATGGTATGTATAAATGGCTTGCATTTAGTAAGTTGGAGAAGGGTCACATAATGGCTTAGTGGTTAGCATTGTGCGTTGAGGAGCAGGAGGTCGCTGGTTTGACGCCCCGCTGTGGATCTTTTCCTTCTCATTTCTTTTTTTTTTCCCTTTTCAATCTGTTTCTGAATACCTTACAGCGCAAAATCCATGACGAAAATATGTCACAGAGTCGTGGTGCACCAAGTAAAAAAACACTTCCGTGTAAAAAAAAAGGAAAATGGAATACAAAATGGTGCACAATATGTCTCATGCAAAGCAGAAATGCTAGTCTGCACTGAAGATGTGCTTTGCCCTTGCACAGCAATCCCACGTGGAACAGTCAATGCTCCTCACAACGACGGAATTTCAGGCCGCAAAGACATGCCGGTTCTTTCGAGAAAAAAACATATGGCTAATCTCTCTGTCTAGGAATCAATATAACACAAAAGTGAAACATGCCTTCTCAAAGAACGCTGAACGTTTGTTGTTGAGCGTTTTCCCACAAGGACAAAAAAATGAATACTACACCAACAAATTGTAATGACAGCAAAGAGCTAGAAATTTGCAGCTTGCACCTCAAGCAGAAAGCATGCACGTAATGGACTAACAACTGTCACAGCTAAGCATTTAAAGTGTGACACTCAAACAGAAAGAAAGATGTAAGAAACAAGTGCGCACAGGACGAGCACGAACAACTGTTGCGACTCTTACTACTCGTGTGCGAGCGCTTCTTTCATAAACGCGGCTGTGGCAGAGGACAAAGTGATGCTCTCCCGAATGAAGAGATAAGCACATGTGCACATGGGACCAAGCCCTGTGGAAGCACGTACAGTCTTGTGGAGGCAAGAGGCGATGACCTTAAGAGAGCGCCCAACGAACGCTCTTGGCGCTATATTGCTACTGATGACGAAAACGCACTCAAGCTACTGAGCTCTGAGAACCATACAGTTTCCTAAACATAAAAAAAATCGCAGCATATTCACGGGGTGAATGATGACGAGTGAGCGAAGCTCCGGAGAGAATCCTTGGTAAAACCGTGAATCTTTCATGTGTGATTTGCCCAGTCAATCATCGTGTAAAGACATTATGAGAAACACTGTATGTGTATATATAGAAAGCAACTCTTATTTGTTGTTAGAGACAATGGATGGCTTGTGATGTCCTTTTATTATGATAGCTTTATGGTCCGTGACATGAAGGGTAAGCGGTTCCTGTATAGGTTGCAGTGGAAAATTTGCAAATACTAGGTCAATGCGTGTTCCTCGGATCGAGGTTGGTTTCATATGGTAATACGATATACATCCATGCGTCCGTCTGTGTGTCCGTGAATCTGTCCATCTGTCTGTACATCCTCACGTCTGTCCATCCGTCTATTAGTCTGCAAGTCTGTCTGTCCATCCGCGTCTCCAAGTACCGCCATCGCCCATCTCGCATCTGCTGTGGCACATACCCGCTCTAGAGTGGGTATGTGCCACTGGTAGCCTAGTACATTTCCAATAACAAACCCCATGGGATGTACAGACGCCCTAAGGAGCTTCGCCCCTAAAATATATTTCCTAAATATATCAGAGGAAACTCTGGCACTAGCGTCTATGGGAGCCACAATGCACAGCGCTTAAGCGAGCATGAGAATGATGGGTAGTACACGGATTCGTCTAATCTTTGTACTTCTGGCTTCGTGTGCGTTCCTTGGAGCTGTTTTCTCATAAAACAAAAATCAGAAAATGTTCTGGGGTCGTGCTTCACCACCTTAATCTTTTAGGCTTACCAACCAATTTAAGTCTGGTCACGAAGTTCAAAAGGGTTCGTTCTTTCCTTCGTAACTGAACCAAAACACAGCAATAATCGAAGCCACAAGTGCGATTCATCGCCCACAGGTAGAAACACTAGGCAAGTTTCAAGTTTTATTATTTCCAAAAACAAGTTGCAAAATCTAGGCAAGTCCACTTACTACCCATCATTCTCATGGTTGCTGAATGATTGCAGCACCAGAGTCCCCTCTAAGTACGGGGAGATGCGGGTTTGATAACTTGCATCTCCCAGCGCTTTGTCTCTACTGTCTTTTTTTTTCCCGAGTTTTTGCGCTGCCCTTTCTATGTGAGCACTATGAACCAACTAGCCCAAACCAAAGTACTTCTCGGGTTTGATAAGATGCCTGTTTTGATAAGATTAATACCTCTGCTGTTCTGAAAAAAATATATATATACATGTCAAGACTCAGCAGGAACTGCTTTAAAAGTGCGTATAAAAAGCACAAGGTGCCTCTTAAAAGGCCAAAAGTGTGCAATCTTCGAGCACCCTGCCACTGATAATGTGTCGCCGCTCGCCATTGTCAATCGCATGAGGCGAAGAGTCGAGCCTCACTCTTCAAATAACGACAGTTTCCCGCGCTGATAAGATGCAAGAAATAATAAAAAGAAGCATGCTTTTGCACGTTTTTCGAGTGCCGCGACTGGCTTCTAAATCACGTGGTACGCATCGGGGACCACCATTGGCCGCTGCGCGCATGTATGTGCTGTGAAGCCTACTTGCGAGATATACGTCGTGTGGAGCAGCGCAGCTGAACAATGCTTTTCTCGTGTATTTACCTCCATTATGAATTGAAAAAGCCATAGCTCGCATGTGAAGGCCATTGTGGCGGCGCGCTTTGTAGGAATAGACTATGAGCAGCTGGTCTGATTTGTGGCAGTTAGCTTGCCATACAGTTAGCGTGCCAATACATAAGTCATTCACAACCATCAGCCGGAAAGTTTGTGATGCGGCAATGGATGATGTAAGCGTTGATCTTGCAAGGTCGAAGGAGCTCACAGTGAGGGAACCTTGCGGGGTAACAATGCCATTATATAAGACAGTATGTGGCCCAAACGTGGCCGCAAAATGGCATTGGCACTGTTGTGTCCCTCCACACCGAACTTAGTTTAGATTTCGCAGTCCTGTCAAACTTCCTATCTTGCAGTCGGCACAAAGCTCTGCCATATGGAGGGGAAGAAGTTTGCAAGCGTTTCATGGCCCTGTCTATGAGCGAAATGTCTGTGAGAAGTCAGGTCGAAAGAGCCGCGAGGGACAAACTCATTGTGTTGGCGCATTTTAGTGGCGAAGGACCACAAGGATTGTTCTTTTTGATGTGCAAATTTCACTGCACTTAATGACATCTTTCATAAATAAAAATTCAATTTTAACTTTAAAACTCATTTTTCTCAAAACACAGATTTTGCTCTTTTTTTCTGTGTCCCTCTTTTTTCAGGTACTTCTGTTTCTCGGATCTGCATAAAATTTTGCAAATTCCTTCCAAAGAATGAAA